AGCCCACCCGTTTGAACTAATAAAGTGCCAGGGGCCTAAGTGGTCACCTAAATATTAAAAAAAAAAAAAAAAAAATACAATTATTTTAAAAAGCTTGTAAATTCTTATATGCAATGTTTTTTTAAACCCAAAAATATTTCAACTTTACACTATATATTATTTTTTTTTCTATTAATATTTTAATATTGATACATCAAATTTACACATATATATATAGCATAAGAAGTTTAAAGTATATAAACATTTTATAAATTATCTATTTTAATATATAAAAACGAAAAAAATACTACCAAAATGAACTGGAACTCTTCCTGACGATTACTTGGACAAAATTTTCTGCTAAAGAAAAACCAGAACTACTTGTTGGAGAGTTGTAGCTAGAACAGTGGTTTGTCTAGAGGTCAACTACTACTCTCGGGAACTCCTCTAAAAGAAAGAACGTTTGGCATACAAGCCAGGAGCATTATTATACAAGATAACTGACAGGTGGTGCCCTTGTATAAAAAATCTTGGTAAAGTATGGGTGGGGAGGCCCAACTCTGTCAACAAAGCTGTTAGGCTGTTACTTCAATGAAGAATACAGGGAAAACAACAAGAAACTCTGCTTTTTCAACACACTCTTTTGAAAATTTTAAAAGTACTTGCAACTTTTTCCTCTCATTTTTGCTTTCTTTTGGTTTTCTAAAAGTTTTTTCAAAAAGTGGGAATTTGGCTTACCCCCTCCAAAAGATCGATAGTGTTTATATTCCAAATCTGAATAGCTAAGTAGATTACAACCACGTGTTTGATAGATACGGTGCTACTAATTTGGACAGGTCCCAGGTTCTAATAGCGGTAGCAGGTGGCTTGAGATACAGGTCTACGGACGGCGGCAGCACCTGGCTCAAGATACGGATTAGGTCAGAACCAAATATTCCAGAGTCAGTTATATGGTCGGAATAAAATATTAACGTTAAGACGACGCTTTACAGTAAAGATATACAAATGTTGTATTTGTTATATAATTTTTACACTTGCCTGGCACGGGTTATAATAGTGTACTCTCTTTTTTTTTTTTTTTTTGTATTCATTTTTGTGCTATTTCTTGATAGAGGTAGCTGCTATCTCTCTTAGGGAATAGTTTTTTCTTATTCAGCCTGTCAGGGCTTATCTTTTTGTTTTTTCTTTTTTTACATTTTTCGTTTTCCTCATTTCTATTCCTTTTTATTTTCCTTTTTTGTTTTGTTTCTTTTTTGTAAATAAATTTTTTTTCTTCTTGATGTATATTCCAGTATTGAGAATATGGAACATTATTTTCTTTTGCTCTCAGTGAAGAAAGTAAGGATGAAGGGATAAGCTCTTGGTAGGCTGACAAAGTCTTCTAACTTACCTGTAGATTGGTGCGACACATCGCTTTTGGGCATACTAGATGCAGCCAGGAGATGTTGGGCTTGCAATTGTTATACTGTTTATTCATATTGTCTAAGTTTGTTTAATAAAGTATTGTATTTGAGCTCTGGCAAGACTGTCAAAGAGCAAAAAAAAAAAAAAAAATACATAAAAATATATAGTGCAGAAAATATAGCAAGAAATAAAGCAGCAAATAATAAATTTAGTAATTGGGCTTGTATATTTACTATATATACACGTATTTGTATACCAATACTCTATTTGAAGTAATATCAATATTGTATAACTTCTAATAATGTATCCACAGCCTATATATATATTACTATAAAAAACATTTTACTTTTTTAAAAAAAATCACCCGGCTAAGTTATGAAAACCAATTTTATTTATATGCGTACCTAACTACTGCTATTTAAATCACTTTTATTACTACATTAATTAGTTATAAAATAGTCAAATTATTTGCAATAAATCAAACTATAACCTTATCTAAATCATTTTGTAATCACAATAAATGACGATAATTCTACTTATTTGCAGCCACCAAATTTTTTATGATAAATCACAAGAAAACTAACTTTAATCCTATATAAATCACTTACTGGCAGCTACAAACTTATCCTGGTTTTGGCTTAGGTATACTATTAAAACAGTTCTTTAAATATAGTAACTGAAGTTTTTTTATAATGCATTACCATACAAATCACGCAATCAAATACAAAGCTAACTTTAAACTACTTACTGGCGGTTACTCAAATATAGCATTACGATAGTTCTGTATATACAGTAAACAAATTTTTTAACATACAAATCACAAAAATACAATACAAAACTAACTTTAACCTATTTACTAGTGGTTACAAATTTATTTTAGCCTTGGCTCAGGCATATTATCTGTAAATATAGTAACCAAATTTTTTATATTAAATCACTATACAAATTACAAAACTAACTTTAACTCTATCTAAATCACTTACTAGCGGCTACAAATTCTTCCTGATCTTGGTTTAGATTTGTTATTATGATAATTCTGTAAGTACTGTAACTGAATTTTTTATAGTAAATCACATATATCACAAAATCCAATGCAGTACTAACTTTAATCCTATCTAAATTACTTATTACAGTCATCCTCCCTATAATCACGCAGTTGGTTATGTACCAACTAGGTGATTATAAAGAAGTGTGACTTTATAAAGGTTACCTTTATATAAGCACATCTTATATTAATGTGATTTAATAGAGGGAAATATATAATATGTTACAGAATTATGTATATACGTATATACGTATATACATAAGTCTGTATTTATTAGAATTTTGCTTTTTAGATGTATCGAAGTTTCAAATAAAACTCTTAAATATCGAGTGTTTGGTTATATCATCAGACAACAGGAGGAACCGTTGATATTACATGACTGATTCTTCACCCGGTGTGCAACATATAAAATAATCATTTTACAATACCAGATTATTCTGCTAGTACATGTTATAATTATAATCCCACACCATTTTTACTATAATAAAATGGTGTGGGATTATAATCATAACATGTACTAGCGGAATGATCTGGTATTGTAAAATGATTATTTTATATGTTGCACACCGGGTGAAGAATCAGTCGAGTAACATCGACGGTTCCTCCTGTTTCATCAGACAATATTATTTAACTGATCCGCAACGTAGATCATGACGATGCAATCACAGTTTTATTTGAATACATATTTATTGTATAACAATAAGGATTTTCTTGTTTGAGTTTAGCGCTTGCTTTCTTTCTTCGATAGGTGGATCATGAAGATTTTGTGGAAAAAGAGAAATTATTACGATGAACTTATCAAAATTGAATTACAAAAGAAATTTTTTTAAAAAAATATTTTATACTGAGAATTATTTATATAATTATTGCTGTAAGTTACTACAATCTTTCTCCCAAATAAAAGTATATATAAAAATATACACATAATATAAAATGTATGTATATGTGTATAAAAATAAAAAAAAATAAAAAAAATAAAAAAAAATAATGTCACAATACATCATAATCTTCCTCATTATCTAACGGTGTAAAGAAATCACTAATAGATGCTTGGTGCTTAGATTCTCTATATTTTCGGTTTAACAAAGCTAAGTATTTTCGAAAAATTTTAAGGTCCTCAGCTTTGAAATCCGTATCAATTTGTTGTTCAAAAAAGGTAATAAATTTATTTAAACCCATTAACCCTTCTGAAATAGGAATTTCAGGTTGTTCTTCATCCGAGTCATCAAGATCTCCATTTTCGCGTTGGTTTTCTTCATCTAAAACAATTTTAATAATTTTTGAATCTTCAAGCTTTTCCTTGGTTATTATATGCAAGTCATTGAGGTCTAAATATGTGTTTAATTGGCTTTCAATTTCCGGATCTGGATCTTGAGAGGTCAAGTCTATTACCAAGTTACCAACATCATCTTCTTGCTGTTCTAACGACATATCATGATTATAGGTGGCGACTTCTATTTCTTCACGGGAAATTGATGATAGAATTCCAGTCTTTCTCCAACAATTGACAATTGTTTGATCTTCAACGGCATCCCAAGACTCAGATACATAGTATATGGCATCCTTAATATTTAACTTTTTTCTAATTGAAATCAAAATATAATTAGTATTAAAACACTTACTGTATTAAAGAATTAAAGGGACAGATGTTAATAGAAACAAACAGATTAACATTTTAAAAAAAATTAATTTTTTAACTTACACAGCCCATATCTCGATGAATTTTGAAGCTATTTCGTGATTCAATAGTCAAAAGAAAGATCTAACCTTTCTTTGACTATTAAATCACGAAAATTTATCAAGATATGGGCTGTGTAAATTAAAGTATTGATTTTTTTAAAAAATATTAATCTGCTTGATTTATATTAATAGTGGCCAGAAGTGTAAGTTTTTAACTTTTTTAAATCTTCTTTGTTTTCAAGTTGCACTAGAATATGATGAATATACTTTTGCTTATATTTTGATTTGAAACTTTTGATAACACCTGCATCCATAGGCTGCAGGTGTGCTGTGGTGTTTGGGGGTAAAAATTTGAGTTTAATATTAGTTAATTGTACGTTTAAATAATCAGGAATAATACGCGGTTAACCATAACCACTATCATAGCGACCTTTACTCCCGCCAGTACTATGTTTACCACGTTTACCATAACTACTACGACTATTATTTGCACTCTGATTAGTTCAAGTTAATCTTGGCCGACCTCGACCTCAACGATTTCCACGTGAAACAGTTGTTATATCAAGTTCTGAATCATTAGATGTTTCTTCATCTATATTAGAATTTGATTTATTTGATTCATATGTTTCATGAGTATTAGGTTGGTTATGATAATGTGATGCAGCATTATCTACTAGCAACGAGACTTGACGATTCTGAATTCGAAATCTCTGATCCAAATTTATTAACCATTCAGAAAAAATGTCATTTCGCATTCATGCCTGGGAATTTGCACAATAAGTAACGGGTAAGGAATCATAATTAACATTAATAAGTGCACGAGGAGAAATTGAAGACCCAATTACTAATGGTTTTAATTTTTCAGTTCCTGTTGCGTTACATGTTAGCATAATAGTAATTCGTGAACGATTCTAATGATTATACGAAAATTAAATGCTTAAAATAAGAGAATTTTATCTGTATTTGGTGAGTAAGTTACCTAGTATATGAAAAAAATTAAACTTGCTAATGTCTTAAAATTTTACTATGAAAACCAATTTAAGATCTTAAGCAAAAATGTTTATTGCTCAATTTTACATATATTGTAATTTGCGACAAATAGTACCTGGGTATCTTATATTCCTAGGGGTAAATTTTTGATCAGTACCTAAGTCTTTTACAATCATGTTTATGAAATATGTACTATTTATTTCCCGCTACGGCAGGAATAAGAGGTACATCCCCGGGCCCGAAGGGCCCATAGCAGGGTGGAGTTATTTCCCCATAGCGCAAAATAAGGTATTATTCTTTTTATAAGATGTCGTGACAAAGTTTTATAGCTCATAATCCTACTTTAATTAGTAAAAAAGATTCAGTTTTTTTTTTACTAATTAAAGTAGTGATTATAAGTCATAAAACCCCGTCACGCTATCATATATAGACATAGAATAAACTTGATTAATTCTAGATACAAGTCGTAGGGATATGTAACAAGAGAATACTATTTGCTGCTGAATACATCTTTAGTAATACTAAATTTAACTCTAGCTAATTCTTTTTTCATATACCAAATAAATTACTATATAGGCAACATAAATTTATTTTAATTTATAACTAGCCTTTTTAAATCCAGGTCTTGATCGGGATGCAAGCGTTTGGTCTGGCGCTATACAGAAGAAAAGCCCTGTTTCGTCCGCGTTGAATACATTATCCAATGTATAATTTTCAATCAACTCACGCAATTTTTCTCTATATTCTGGAAGCGAAGATAGTGGTACACTGTTGGCTTCTCCATGTAATTTAAAATTTCTAAGATTATTGTGCTGTTTAAATTTATGAATCCATCTGTTCGAAAATTTTAATGCATCATCGCCTAGGCCCAAGGCATTTGCAAAAGCAGCCGCCTTTTCCTTGATCATTAATTCCATCAGAATCACTTCGCTGTTGGTAATTTGTTCAACCCAGAGTCTCATCGATTGATCCAATAAAGGATATTTCACTTGTTTATACCGAAAGACTGTAGAACTTAATTGATCTTCTGTAATAGCTAACCATTTTGACTTATCTTTTAATATCTTTGAAATAGTGGTCTGATCCAAATTTAAGTTGGGATCTTGAGAATTAAAATGGTCCACGATATTTATTTGTCTTTTGTTAAGGTTATTTTGACTGTATTCACATATTTCTCGTTTCAAATGCTCACTAACAGCTGTTCTTGGTCTTTTTTGTAGTAAATTTTTAAATGACATGAACTAAGTATTTACTCAAACTATCTAAAGGGATTTATGGAATTAATAGTTCTTTTATATACAAAGTCTAATAATCTTTATGATAATCACTACAATTACGAAATTTCTCTATCTGAAAATATATAAACAACCCGAGTAAGTTGGAATTTTAAATTTTTACCTTTTTTAAATAATTTATTGTTATATAACATTTTTCAAAGAATAGCATTACTTGATAATTAATTTACAGGCATTCTGGTTACTAGCAAGCTTTAATTATATGCTCTGTTTGGTAGAATCTTGTATAGAAGCAGAAATAGATTTCAACACGACTAGCAATTGAACTTTACTTCGCAAGCTAATGACGATAGTGTGGATTTCAAGTATGATCAATAATAGTTACAGGTTTGTATGTACGTCATCAATTATACAAAATTTTTTTCATGGTTATTAAGAAACGATTATAGATAAGTGCGGCCAAGAGAAAGCCTGTAAGTACAAATGTAAATTTTTACCATACTGGACCTTTGAAAATTAGTGTTCGTTTTATATACAAATGCAATGTAAGTATGTTCAAAATACTATCAATATTAATCATAACCCGGTATAATGAAATTCAAATTAGTACTTATAGGTTTTCTCTTTGTAGTACTTAAATAAAATTTGAAATCAATTTAAGTGACGCCAAACGAGATAAATTTAAATCGGTTATTGATTAAAAAGTGCTATAAGAAATTTAATCTTGTTAATTTTTTATTTTGTATCACTCATTTCCTTAAATTGATCTGATTAGTAGGTATAACTGCAGTAAGTATAGATAACACTTGATTTCGTTAAATTATTCACTTACTAATTGAATGATAATAGGAAAGACTTATACAGGATAAAATTAAATGGATCAGATTTAGATAAGTATTATAGAAATATCGAGTGCTAATTTTTTTTGATTCTTGGCATTCATCGTGACGACAACAAAGACATATTGAGAGCTGATAGAACTATCAGATACTTAATAAAGCTATTAAGTATCTGATAGCTCTATTAGCTCCTGATATGCACAATAAGCACCAATAATCAAGAAAAAATCAAAACCTGATATTTCTATAATACTTATCTAATATACTTTATTTCAACCTGCTATGATGACAATTTATGAGTTGTTAGGCAATTTAGTTTAAATTGTACGTATCATGAGCAGTATTTAAAATCCAAATGGAATTTACGATACACAGATTAAAAATTAATTCTGCAGGTAATGTTTTCTTTGAATATGCAGGTTTTATTATGTCATACATTTTTTTTTTGAACAAACTTTTCCGATCATGAGGCCAATTCTTAAAATTATTTTATTTAATATAATGTGGCAAAAACTATGATTGCATGTTATCGTTATATAATAACCTTAATTTACAATCTTGTTAATTCAAGTTTTTCAACACATCAGGGCATATTTTAAGAGCTTCTAATTTTAGAAATTTGTACTGTTTATAATTAATGTAATTATTAATACGTACTGTTTAGACCATGGACCCAGAAAAATATCGATTTTATTTATGGGAATTTCAAATCCTATAAATAAAATCGATATTTTCCCGGGTCCCTGGTTTAGACTGCCTTTTTAACTTATCAGTTTTTTTGTTAACTCAATAAAAAATAAATTAAAAAAGTGATAAAGTGAAATATGTGTTACTTTATCAATAGACACAACATTTCAATTCATGATATGTTTATTTTACTGGCACTTAATTTTCTGACAAGTTCATTTACTAACAATTTACTTTACCAACAGCTTATTTCAATAACAAGTTTTTTTTAAAATTATGCTAATTTTATTTCTTTTTAACCTTAATCTTAACAATAATGAACAGAATTTCAGTCTATGAAATGAGCTATCGGTAAGGTAAACTGTAAAATAAACTTGTTAGTGAATTAAGTATTGGTAAAATAAACATTAATCAATTGATGAAGTATTGAGCAGCACGATTTTTTTGGAATCAGCCAGAGTCACCCCCCGGAAGTTCGGTTGATGATTTACGAAATTGCTACAGCATATATTTTTTTTATTACTGTATTAACCATTAACCCTTGCGGTACTTTAAAATTGTCATCTAACAATAATACATATGTAGTCATCACCCGAACTTCCCGGGGGACAATCCTGGCTGATTCATTTTTTTGTATAATTTATTATTTAATATTTAGTGATTATATAGAAGGAGTTTTATTATTAAAAAATTTTATAAATATATATATAAATGTGATAGTGATTATAAGCTTATTGTGATTATATAGAAGGTAATTTAATAATAAAAAAACGGTAATTTAAAAATAGGTGATTATATAGAGTTTGTAACTATATCCCTTAAACTGTAGAGTTTGTATAACAATTTTAGCTTAAAAATAGCATAAATTTAGTTATGATCTATTTTTTTTAATATTTAAAA